TCCAGTGCACATCTGCCAACAAGACTCTTGCATGTGTAACCCTCTCGGACTGGGAACCCTGAACGACGGCCACGCCTTCCCCATGACAACGTTACTTCATCACCCCCAGCAGCGGTGGGACGTCCTGACGCTGCCCCAGAAGAAGAACCGCCACCCGCACTGCCACCTGCAGCACCGGCACCCTGCAGCATGGGAGCCTGCACCCAGCAGCATGGGAGCCCATATCAATGAAATAAAGCTCAGGGGTAGGGTGGAGGCCCTCCTTATGGCATAGGGCCAAAATCCGACCATCGAATTTCGTCACGCCCGTTTAACCCCACTTTCATGCTACCTAACAAGAACAGTTCCCAAAGTTTCAGCGCAATTTGCGATGGTCGGTTTCCCAGGTGGTGGCTTGGCAGGGGCTTCAGGGTAGGGGTGGAGGCCCTCCAAATGGCATAGGGCCAAAATCCGACCATTGAATTCATCACACCCGTTTATCCCCCCCTTCATGCTACCTAACAAGGACAGTTCCCAAAGCCATCAACCTCCTACAATATACAAGCGCGTAGATGAAGTTAGCCAGGGTACCCGCTGAAGTAAACGCATGGGAAAATGGTGTTTACACAGCTTTAGGGAAGGGAAGTGCCATCCAGCATGAACAACTCTTTCAAGGAAAGAGGAGAGACTACCCAGGGGGAATACATTTAAACTTGCCGGCATCGGAAGTAAGGGAAGGGCCAAGCTGTATGGCAAAGCTGTACTCACAAATACGCCTATGTCAATGAAGGGGTATGCGTCCCCATCAGCAGCAGCCTGCCCCAACTCCACCATATCCCTCTCGCCGGCATCTTCGGTGTCTTCGGAATATACTTCCTCGCTGAATACGGGGTCATCGTTAAACGCTTCAACGGCATCTTCAAACACTTCATCATCTTCATCTTTGTAGTCGGAATCGTAGCCTGAGGACATGATATCTCCATCTTCGCTCGCCATGGACTTATTGCGTGAAGTATTCTTTCCGGTATCTAGGTGACTATTCATGAGCCTCTAATTGATATGACGACTCGGCTCAATATCAACATTCCTCTTTACCGCGAAGTATTGGCCCCAAACGGCTGCACGGTTATTGATTTAGGATAAAAGCATAAGAATCTTACAAGCAATAAGCGTCTTTTGCTGGGAAAAGTACGTGGACAGACTTGGAAGCACGCTTTGAAGGTGGGCAAGGTTGATCTGAGCGCCCATTCACCTGGCAAGCAACAAGGATTAGTTACATTACACTGAAATGCGGTGGAAAGGGTAAACGCAAGACGGCTGCCGTACGCCTAGATCGCTTCGGACCTAGGACCAGCGGTGGGCATCCGCTATCGACATGCGCTTAAGGCCTCTTTTTTTGTAACTTGTTTTGTACTTTGTACGACACAGGCCAATATCACTGCTCACCCATATACACATCATTATTTTAACATCACAATACAACAAACACCTGTGCAATGATTATGTGACGAACGCTGCAGCTAGAAACTCCTCTCCACTCATAACAATAGTTCTTGACTTGGAGCCACATCGCAGGTTGTCTTTGTGACTTGCATATACACATTCAAATTCCAAACCTTTTGCACGAAAAAGATGCCAAAAAGCTCACGCGAAAACTTGTTTAATTTGCCGGGGTGTTCACTAAGGCTGTTCCCTTGCTTCCAAGCCGCGGCCTGGCGGAGCGTCTGGAATCAAGGGCAGGCCAAAAACGCATCAAGTCATCATGCTGCCACCTACGGTTAGGGGCTAGGGGAGGGGCTGGCCTGCAGTTCATCGACAGTTACTATGTGCCGCACACCTTGCACTGCCTTACCCCAGTATGGATTGCTAAGAAATGAACAGGTACCGGTTAGGGATCTGTGTAGCCAGTGTTGGGAGGGCGGTCAGGGGGCTGAGGCTACAGTTGGTTGTATAACCGCGTTGCACTTGTCGCGTCGCCTCTTTTTTTAATAAGCATAATTAGGTTATGTTCTTCAACGTTTTCTTCATGTGTTTTTTGTTGCTGCGGCCCGTTTACGACACAGCGGCGTCTCACACAATTGCGGTCCCTCCGTATTCCTCCGTCCAATCTGCAGTTAGTACGGTCTCTCCGTCTTCATGCATCCTTTCGCGCTGCGGCTTCGCCCTTCACATAGATGATCAGCTTCCGTTCCCAATGCACCCGCGTGTCACGTGCCAGGCGCCCTGGTGTCGCCAAACGTTCATGAGCTCTGCCGTCCATTGACGCTCTTCCTCCTAACGGGCGGGGACAAGGCAGAAGTAATGGCGAAACGTGTCAGCGTGTATCAGTGCGGATTAGGGATGCGGTAACGACTAAACAACATGAAACTTGTAACCACCTGTACGCACAGTAATTGCATATATATCCAAGAGTGCGTGCGGGAGGGGCTTCAAGGGCGGGGGAGGGTTTCCCTCCCCCTCCAGGACAGTCCGTATCCTAAGGCTTCGTAATCGCTGTAACAATTACACACAAGACATACACCTCCCAATTTGTGTAGGTAGCGCGTTCCGAGCCATAAGTATCGGAAGTAGGTGCCCTTACTCGGAAGGTGTGAAAGCGACCCTTGGGTCTTGGCCTTTGGGGGGGGTGTTGAAGCCTATGTTATAGGCGGATGAGAAATGAATGGGTCTTTGACTTTTGCTTTAAACGGTCCGTGTCGGGGCGCTTATATGCGATACTTCTTGACCCGACGTGTAGTACAGCTTCCTCTATACAGTAATACGTGCGGGAGGGGGTTTAAGGGGCGAGGGCGCCCCTCCACAATTCCAACTATCTATCGGACGTACCTCATAATCAGGGTAATGATTAGCCAAGCTGTATAGCCAAACTGTAAAGTACGGGCACACAGGGTACCTGGCTAACCACCTTTCATTTGGCCTATCCAACGATCTGGGCTTACATGGCACCATTGTAACGGTCATTCATTCATGGATGCATGGGTTCTTACAGTCAAAATGCAGTGGTCGACATTAGCTGAGCGAAGCTGATAACTAATGCCTGACACCCCTGCGCGAGCTTGACCAGACCGAAGCGATCTCATGGCCTGCCCTAATTAGAGGATGTTGAGATGGGAGCAAGGCAAGGGATAGGAAAGAAACAAGAGGGACGGTGGTGAAAGGAACGTGAGGGGAGGTAAGGCAAGAGGAAGCAAGGGGTGGGGAGGACAGGGTGGTGGGAAGGCTTGCGCAGAACGGAGAATGGAATTGGAGAGCTTTCAATGGTAGGCTATACCACTCCCAGAAAGGGTCAGATTGAGTTATATTGAGTGTAATTGACCCCCTTATTGAGTCCCAGATTTAACAAAGTGACCGGAATTGTTGAGATGTCATATTGAGATTACATGCTCAATTAGGCGACTCAATGTAGACTCAATAGCAGACTCAATTACGGGTCAACCAAATTCAACCCTCGCTCAATAGGACTCCTCAACATCGTACTCAATAACGGGTCAACCAAACTCAACCGTAGCTCAAACGAACGCCTCATTATCGTACTCAATAACGGGTCAACCAGACTCAACCGTTGCTCAAACGTACGCCTCAATAGCGGACTCAATAACCGGTCAACCAAACTCAACCGTTGCTCAAACGTACGCCTCAATAGCGGACTCAATAACCGGTCAACCAAACTCAACAGCGCCTCAAGTGTCGCAACTCAATTGTGATACGCTTTCCAAGCTCATCACGTCGCTCCCAACACTGCTCATGCCGCAATAGCCACACCACCGCAATAGCCACACGTAACTGCCACTAATAGCTGTTCTAGTTCGCGTCCATCCGTTTAATAAAGTACCTGCCCTGCTTCTGTCATACACGTACGGCAGCAGTCGATGGTCATTGTAAATACCATCCATACCTTTTTGTCCATGTTGGTTTCCAGTTGGAAGTCTCCGTAACTGCAGGGACGGTATGCGTATAGCAATCAACCGTTCTGCAAGCTCGGGAATGCCTTTCAGCTCAGGTGGAACCTCTGGAATTTCAAGCCCGTTGTCTGATGAAAACCTTGGGCAGTGGTCCCTACGAATGCTGCCAAGGCATGTGTGGCATATGTGGCCCACACCGCGCCGTGTTACCCAGCCCGCTAGATTGATAGCCCACTCCTCGCTGAGTGTGCCATGCATACATGTTGTCCGTAACCTCCACAACTGATTGCCGGAACAGCTTGTGTTCACATACGAGCACGACTCAGCAAAGGCAGATGTGCTGGCTTCCTCTGGTTTGTAAATAAAGCCCTCTAGTTGCGTCTTTGTGACATTGGCAAATCGAGTGTCGTAGCTCAAGCTTTCTGTTAGGTGCTTGACAGTAAGTCTTCCATTGTCTACAACTATACGTTCTGCAGCTTGTTGAGCGCAAGCAGTTGGTCATCAGACCAGCGGCGTTTGCCCATGCTGTTTCATAGCAATAGATTTATAACATAGCTATTCTAGCGATACGATACTGTGAAAGGCTTCCTTGGGTTTAACTACGACGACTATCCCTGTTCAACCAGGGAAGCTAAACAGCCACTGTAAGAAAGCACGTGTACGACAGCCCCTTTCCTAACAGCAGCGTTGCACCTTAACAAAAGACGATACGAAAACACATCCGGTCGTCGTTCCCAACATTCACAGTACCAAACCATAACACCAACTTCATGTCCTTGCCCCATAACAATGTTGTCTGCGCGTGCAAACTACTGCTGTTCTTCAAGGTTCCGTGGCTTACACATAGCAATAGTCTGGAAACATTTTCAATGTTTCGACTTCGTGCGCGATGTTGCCTAAGCAGGAAATTTCCTGAGGACCATAAGTCCGGGGTATTCCCTAAGGCTTTTCCCTTGCTTCCACGGTGCGGCCTATCGGAGCGCCTAGCATCAAGGGCAGGCCAAAAAATGATTCCATTGAATGGGGCTGCACGATGATCACGTGAAGTAATGGTACCTTCGGTCCCCACCGCTCCTCCCTACTAACTCAATTAATCCCCTAATACCTTCACCTATGCAGCCGATGTCCTCACCACACCGCCCCACCGACCCACCGATCCAATTGTAACACCCACCGTCCTCAAGCACATCCTCGGACAGTCAGCCTACCAGCTTGCCGTACTGTATGGCATTGTCGGAATGGAATCGGCAATGCAGCCAGATATGTTGCCGTTCCACGGGAACGACCTGCTGCTGCCCCTTCTAGGTAGTACCCCTATCGGTGGCAGTGGTTTGACTTCGACGTGTACGACACTTGTTTTCAACACGTTTGTGTGGATGCAACTCTTCAATCAGATTAACTGCAGGTAGGCGGGTTTCACCTATCAAAAGGGAGCCAGGTAAACAAGGTCCATAGGTAAATGGATTGCTTTCTGAGTTTTGTTCTGGTGTCAGGTATGTTAGATGTATGTCTTCGTGCTTTTGCGCACGCATTCCCTAATGGAGCGCTGCATACCGGTAACCTAAACACGTGGTAACGCTCTAAGCGACTTTACATGCAGTGTTGTGGTTGAGGCTGCTCCGGTTCCTAGCCCCCTCGTTCTCCTTCTGCCGCACCGTTTCCGTACACCTTCTCTCCACCAGGCGCATCCGTGACGAGCCCTACCCACTGTCTGGGCTGCCTGGTCACCCCCTATTCAGCGCCATCTGGACAGCGGAGGCAGTGGCACAGGTGGGGGAATGGGGGGCGCATGCGCGAGGTTGGTGTGATGTGCAGGTGTATGGGACAACCTGTCAGAGGCTTATAATGAGGTTTTGGGTTAAGGCAATGTAGTCGAGGAGCGAGAGCATGGCGCACGGGATGGGTCGTACGCATACTTAGGACACGTTGCGCCGTTAGAGTATAATGAGGAATCGGCCAGCATCTGTATGTATAGGCGTGCGTGGCCGGGTGAGGGCGGGCAAATGCAGGTGTGAGCGGGTGGGGGTGGAGGGTGGAGGGCGGATTCCGGGATGAGAACATGAAAAGGTATACTACGCATGATATCATTAAACGCTATTTTGAACGCTGTTAGACACTAATAAGTTGAACGCATCCAATCCAACGACTGCTGGCTTTAGCTGCAAACGCTACCTGGTGCAAATACTGCAATGCAGGTGGCCATTGTGCAGTGCGGTGGCGGTGCGGCCTTCGGTACGATACCCCTCACATTGGGACAGTGGGGGGCGTGTGTGGGGCTGGGGATGGGCAGCCTACTGGTGCGGGAGGTGCTGAGGCGGGCGGGGCGGCTGGGTGGAAGCGGCGGAAGGTCATAAAGGAGATAACATACAGTACCTGCCGTAACGACGGGGGCAAAGTCATAGGGCGGGTCGGGAGGGAAAGCTGCACAGAGCTGTGGGAGCGGCAGGGAAAGGTTGGAGGTGTAAAATTGCAGGAGGAGAAGGTGGCGGGGTAAATGGCGGTAGAGGAGCGAGGTAGAGAGAAGCTGTGAAGCGTCCACGACGCATGTATATGGTATGCATAACGCTAGGCAGCAACCAAGTTCTGGATGCTTCTCGCTAACGTCATGGCTGGTGTGGCGGTTGCGTGTCTGAGTGGAATGTGGTACTCCAAAGGGCGACGGCCCCCTGAACATGTGTACATGCGTAATTAACAGCAAACAATATGGAACAAAGTTTAATTTTCCTTGTTAATGCGTTGGTGTTAATCTCTTACTGTCTCGTGCTCGTCATGAACGTTCCGGATAACCATATCCGGAATATCCGGAATTCTAGGATTTGATGCCTGCCGTGTCATACATGTTTTCCATGACCTCCACAAACTATTGCCTGAACAGCTTGCGTTCGCAGCAGCAGCAGGCATATGAGCAGGACTCTGCAAATGCAGATCTGCAGGCTTCCTCTGCTTCTTCAGCTGAAGTATATGTGCACCTCTGCGTTTTCGTCGAATGCTGGCAGTGCCTCGTCACCAAACTCGTCTTCTTCTATGTGGGCAGGGGTTTGTGGGTGTTATCACTGCATGTTGGTCGCAGCAGCTAGTATTCAGTGGTACGCCCTCTTCAGTGCGGCATTCTTCCACCAACCTTCTCAGAAATGCACACATAACAAGCAACGTGCCTATACCGCTCTCCTCTTGAGCACTGCTTGGAACATTCTGACCTTCGTTTGTGCGATGGAGCAATGTCGTCAGCGAAACAGTGGTTACCTTTATACGCTTCTCTATGAGCGACCATACCTTTTTGGCCTGCCCTTGGTTCTAGGCGCTCCGATAGGCCGCGCCGTGGAAGCAAGGGAAAAGCCTTAGGGAATACCGGGACTTAATGTCCTCAGCAAATTTCCTACTTAGGCAACATCGCGCACGAAGCCATATCATTGTAACGTTTTGCAGACTATTACTATGTGTAAGCCACGGTGCCATGGAGAACAGTTGTTCGAACACACAGACAACATTGTTATGGGTCATGGAAATGAGGTTGGTGTTATGGTTTGGTACAGTGAATGTTTGAAACAACTACCTTACGTGTTTTCCTGTTGTCTGTTGTTAAGGTGCAACACAGGTGCTGTTCGGAAAGGGGCTGTCGCACACGTGCTTTCTTATAGTTGCTGTTTGGCACCCCTTGTTGATCATGGATAGTCGTTGTAGTTATACACAAGGAAGCCTTCACAGTACCGTTAAAATACATGGCGGGGTGTCAGCACTAGAACGCTCCTACACTATACCCCTAGGAGTAATTTTTTCGCGACTCTGGGACAGAGTCACTTATAGTAGTACTGCTGCCGTGTAATGCCGTGGAAGCCGTCACACTACACTTGTACCACACAGCCTCTACCACCGTGTATGGGGGTTTACGGCTAAGGTTGACTATATCGAGAATTAATGCGCGAGCGGTAGTGTAACGGGGTATCTAAACACGTATGTTTGACCACCTAAGACTCAGTAGATGTTGAAGGCCTACGGATGCCACAACCGTACTGGGTGCTAGCGTGCGGAAGGGCTTGGCAGAAGAAGAAGAAGAAGAAGAAGAAGAAGCAGAAGCGCCGGGGGGCGATGAGAGGGGAAGGGAAAGGGGGGACTGACGCTGGACGAGGAAACCGTGCAGATGTGAGGGCCCTGATGTTGCAGCCCTTAGAGAGGGAGAGGGAAATTCCTAGCGTCTTGGTTTTTACCAAAGTAGGGGGCTTACGGGCCTTGGCCGGAACCGTTAGTCTCCCCGCAACAGGGGCCAAGACTTTGTTTTGGTTGGTTAACTATTTGCAAAATAACCGTTTTTATACTAACTGAAATGTACGGCATTTTGTACGACAAAGTGTGCAACGTAATCCAAACCTACTACCGGCCTGTCGCAACGTCATACGGAAGCCAACTGAACCTGTCAACGTAATTCCGAAGGTTCTGGAGCCGTTCGCCACCTTCGTACGGCTTCCCGTACGGGGTTTCGGAGGCCAAAGACCGACCCTCGGGTCAAACCCTCCAAAATAGACCGCAAAGCTATCAAACGTATACAAAACATGAAGCAGAAATTATAACATTCATTCCTGCAACAGTAAAACAGAACAACCATCTCGCTCACTAAAGTGTCTTTCCTCAACCACAACCAAACTGCTTCCACAACTTCTTTATCTCAGGCCGAAGTAGCTGACAGCTGTCAGCACTTTCCCCTGCTAGCGCAAGCCGACCCGGCTTGCCCAACGCGGCAGCTCTAGCAACGCGACCCTAAAAGGCGATCCAAAACTCAAGCTTTCCCTCCGCCAGCTTTCGAAGTTCCAACCGCCACCACCCACCGCAGCAGGCTGGAGGACAACGGGCTCCAGCACCGCTCGGCGGCTCCGACATTGCTGAGCGAATCCAACTCTCCTCAACCCTGCGACACCATCCGCAACTTCTGGGCGCACAACTCAGTAAGGAAGAACGAATCCATAGAGTACGACTCAGCCTATAGGTTGTTAGGCGGCGCCACGACGCGCCGTCCTGGCCTCCTCACGGGATATCTTCCTTCGCTTGAAAGATACGGTCTACCCTAGTTTGCTGCTACGTTTCCTGTCTTCGAACAGCAATTAATCCATACGCATTCCTGCTAGCAACATGTTGGAAGCAATGTTATTCGCGGCGAAGCAACATTGGCGCCGGCTTCCCCCTTGCTCCATCCAACACCCTTCTCAGCCTCCCTTCCTTCCCTTCCACCCCTACACGCCCTGCCGTAAACCGTAATTCCGCCTTGCGAATGACCTTATCCCCCTGCTCCTTCCCTTTCCTGACCCCCCCGAGCTCCCATCCCATCCCTTTCTTCTCCACTTAGCTTCAACCTCGGGTTGGGAGAGCGCCTGGTTCCGCCTACGGCGACCGTCTAGATGTCTACCGCGGCCTCCACGCCCTCCTCCAGGGCGTCCGCAAGGGCCGCGGACACCTCGTAGCCCTCAAGCATCGCGACGGCGGCCTGCACCGCCATGTGTAGCGCGTGCGCCCGGCCCAGGACGATCACCGGCCGGCCCAGGATGTCCGAGAACTGCCGGATCTCCTGGGGCCCCGGGGGCCCCCAGCCCGCGTCATCGCAGACCCTGAACGCAAGCAGGCCTGCTGCCGCCGGCCCCCAGCGCGGCATAAACACCCGCTGAAGGAGCTGTCGCAGCGAGAGGCGCTCCTGGGTGGTCACCGGATTGATGATCGGCAGAAGGAGCTGAACGGGCGGCAGTGGCGGCGCGGCACCAGGGCGCGGCGGCGGCTGCGGCAGCGGCGGTGGCGGCTGCGGCGGCGGCGGTGGCGGCGGTGGCGGCGGCGGCGGCGGTGGCGGTGGCGGCGGCGGCGGCGGCGGCGGCGGCGCCGTTTGCACCCCAACCGGCTGCACCGGCGGCAGGTTGTTCGCCGGCGGCACCGGCAGCATGTCAAGCAGCTGCAGCAGTGAGAACTGCGGCACAGGCGCGGCTCCGGGTGGCATCGGTGGCGGCAGCTACGCGGCCCTGTCCAGCAGCGAAGGCGGCAGAGCAGCTGCCGGCGGCGGTGGTGGCGGCGGCGGCGTTCCAAAGAGTCGCAGCTGCGGGTGCTGCGGCGCCGTCGCCTCCTCCTCCCCCTCCTCGCTACCGCTCGACTCCCCCCCACTGTCCGCAGTAACGGGGGAATAGGGCGGTGGCTGCGGGCTGTGCGCCGCTGCCCCAGCCGAAGGCGTGAAATCAATCAGCCCAGCCAGGAGGTCTGGCCCCGGCTGCGGCAGAGGCCCCGGCGGCAGCAGCGGCGGCGATGGCGTCCTCAGGAAAGCTGCCAGCAGCCCCTGTCCCTGGAAATTCATCTCCCCGGGAACCAACGGCGGCTCCGCTGGTGGCGAGTGCTCCGTCTTGGGCGCCAGCGGCTGTGGCGGCAGCGGTGGAACAGCGT